AATTTAGCAAATAAAACACTGTAATTTATGTCGTAAGTGATTTTTAGCTTGGGCGCCTCGGCGAGCTAGTCTGGTTGACTATTACTTATGAGATTGATCCTCACTTGGTGCTTCACATTTGTGGCCTTGGGCCAAAACTAACGCTTAGTAAATAATAGATTATTTTTAGTTTACAGACTACTTTTAGCACGCAGAAAAATGGAGAATAATTTTTTAATTGTTTCTGTAAAACATAAAGAAAAACAAAAATTCCATCATTTTTTACGGCACGGTAAACGTCTTATATGCAGCGGACCATTTCAACGTGTGGGCGAGAATGTCTGTTTATAACTTTCTCTCTCTTGTAACTTTAAGCAACATTTGACTCTTTCTTCCCATTCAACCGTCCATTCGCAAAAGGTCATTAAGTAGGTTATTCGCTGTTACCCTCTGACCCTCTTTATTTTAGTATGTCCTGTGAGTGCTAAATTTTCCAAGCTCTCTTTTCTCATTATGTGTCTTACACATTTCAACTATCTCTTTCTGATTTAAGACTCACGAGTAATGGTAATATTAGCCGTTTCCCTATAAAGAAACATGTCACATTCATTGACCGTGCAATCAATATGATTTCGGTTGAAATTTAAAACACTTTTTTCAATAGCTTTTATCTCTCTTGATGGGGATTTCCTTCCTAACCTTTTGTTTGAAGTGGTGTGAAATGTTAACGTCTGGATTATGTCATTATTTTCTCTTCGAGTTACATGTGCTATGCATTTCTGTTGTTGCTGCTGTTAGTAGTCTTCAAGGGATGTGGTTTCTGTTATTTGCTACAGTTCTTTATTCGTGAATCTGTCGTACCAGTAGATGATCTTTGCAAAGACCCATACGCTTCACTCGCTCAAAGCCATTATTAACCGCTGATCTTAGAAAGCGGTTGTATACAACTGACAGTTTAGATATTTCTAAACAGGTTTATCACAATGCATGACATCCATATGAAAGTCTCAACTTGTCGAGGCTATATAAGAACTTGACTCGAGTTTTCAGGTTGATATTTGGTTTCGTTACAATTTGCGGTGTTAGGTGAAACTACCGCCAACACAGCCTATTCTATGTTCAATTTCCTTATCTCCATCTGTCTATATCTCTGAGATGAGGTATTATGATTACTTACATTATTTACATTATTTAGACCGTTATCCTTATCTTAATTGTCATATTCACAACGTTTCGGCCGTTGTACGCTCCGGCCTTCATCAGATGATTGGAATTTCGAACCGAACACTTTATTTCGTCCACCGGGGTAGATTGTTGTAGTTTCACGTGCCATGCCTCTTCCGGATGTCTAAGTTATTTCCGTTTAACTCAACTCTCCAAGTTTGGTTCACCACTGCTGTAGCCTGGTATTGAACTCACAACCCTTTGGGTTTAGTCACTGGATCTAACCAACGTCTTTATCCACTGGGCTATGTGTTATCTTCAGCACTAAATTTGTTTTAACTGATTCATACGCTGAGGTATTTGAAGTGTTTGGTAAATAACTGATTCCACATTCTGAATTTTTATGATGGGTATGTGAAATCATTGTTTACATTTAAATTCCAGATCAGTTTTTGTTTTGGAAAGGTTTATCTCGAGTCCTATTTCTTGAAATACTAGGCAGAAGACGCTTATTTTCTGTTCAAGATCATTCTTATCTTAACTATGAATGATTATGCCGTCAGTATAGCCCTCATACACACACATCTTTAGTACATTGGCTTCAGGAGGTGAAGCATGTTCGTTGTCTTCTGTTGCTACATTAGTAAAAAAAATAAAATAATAAAATAATATAATCGTAATTATTTAATCAGTAACTTCTATAACGATTTTCGTATTTTTTATTCGTTTTTCCCCCTTTGTTAGTTATAGTTTCATTTTTTTCTTAGTTGAAAGAGCCATTTAAAAAAAAATCTTGATATCATATTTTTAAAAATTAAAGTCTGGAATGTTGATCATCAATTCCAAATTTAATGACTGATATCTGTCAAAATTTCTGAGATGAGCTATTGTAACTATTTACACTATTTACAGTCTTTGGTCTATGGTCCTCAACTTTATTGTCATATTCCCGACGTTTCGGCCGTTGTATGCTCCGGCCTTACTAAAAGGGAGATAACTGAAGCTGAAATATCCAGGTATTCGCTGTTACCCTCTGACCCTCTTTGTCCTGTGAGTGCTAAATTTTCCAAGCTCTCATTTCTCATTATGTGTCCTACACATTTCAACTATCTCTATAACACTGACGAGTAATGGTAATATTAGCCGTTTCCCTATAAAGAAACATGTCACATTCATTGACCGTGCAACCAATATGATTTCGGTTGAAATTTAAAACACTTTTTCAGTAACTTTTATCTCTCTTGATGGAGATTTCCTTCCTAACCTTTTGTTTGAAGTGGTGTGAAATGTTAACGTCTTGATTATGTCATTATTGCATGGCACGTGAAACTAGAACAATCTACCTCGGTGGACGAAATCAAGGGTTCGGTTCGAAATTCCAACGTATACCATCTGAAGAAGGCCGGAGCGTACAACGATCGAAACATCGTGAATATGACACAAAGATGAGGACAACAGTCTGAACAATGTAAATAGTGTAAATATTAATGATTGTTGGCTAATTTATTTTCTTTCTTTTTTTTTTTAAATGTATTTAAGTTAGCACACAAATTTACTGTTAATTGGAAATCATCCTCGAGTCACTTTTATTTTATTAATTTTTTTTTTTTTTTTAGAATTAATCGAACAGTCTCAGGCAGAACTCGAAGCCAGTTTTACGGATTCCATTTTTCGTGACGTTAACCATTACGCTGGTTTGCACTTTCGTTGATATAAACGCAAAATAACGGGTTTATTAACAGGACAGAAATGCTGTTAAATGATATGGTGATTTTCTAAGCGTAGCTTAGATGTAGCACAAGGCCGAATATATGGGGATGCCAAGTGAGGATCGAACTCACTGCGTTGAACGCGATTCTCTCCGTTGGTGTGAGACATTTCGTTAAACCCAGAACTTGGTATTAAAATCAATCAACACAAACTGACTTAGAATACCATGTTGATTTTCTCAGCGTAGCATAGATGTGGCACAAGGGAGAAAGCATGGAACACACAGTGAGGATCGAAATCATCATTCTATCGTAATTGATCTAGCGAGGCAAGCTTGCTAAGCATTACGCCACGTCAGAGTGCTCACGCAGTTTAATGATATGAGTGATTGAGAACCGACAGCTTTCAAAATGAGTTACAGTAAAATGGAGACACGAAGAATATGACACCATTACGCTTCTTATCAGATGTGCGAAGACTGAAAGATTTGACAGAATGCGAAATACACATTGGCGAGCCTAGAAGGGTGGAGACGGTAGGAGCAGTCTGCCCCACTCAGAAACTTTTAGGGGCGGCATCTAGGTGAATTAGTTCAATGAAGTAGCACACAAAATGAGTTATACTGTTTTTTCTCTCATTCACTTCGTGTCATTTTTACCTAAATTTATTTCATAGTTAAGTAATACCCTAGGCATTTTCTTTGAGGGTTACACTATGAGTCAGTAACTTTTAAGTAGGTATCCCCCCCCTAAAAAAAAGAAAAGAAAGAAAAAGGAAAAGCGATACGTAATGTGCGAAATGCATAAAAAAAAATGAAAAGTCTTTTCTGAAGCTTTTATTTTAGTATTAATTCAAACCTCATAGATTAAATTTTATTATTTTCAAAAATATTTTACTGTATTTGAAACCGAATTTAAATTGATTGGGATATTTTTTCTGACTATCAATAAAATCGATGAAATCGTCCGTATTGACAAATCTATCAGTACAACATACTGTTTATTAAAAAATCTTTCAAAAATAAAATATATATTCTAAAACGTTATTTGAGGAAAAAATTTACTGATTTAAAGTTTAATTAGTCTGAATTAAAAAAAAAAAAGACTTACTTTTAGTTTTAAACTAGACCACCCGTTGGGTTCATTTTTAAAGCAGTTCATGATACAAAATGATGAGGTAACAATATTATAAATTTTATTACTAATTAGACATATTTTAATTTGTATTTGCAATACAAGTTATTGTAATAATTATTGTTACTCACATTATACAATATTACTTAGATCAAACGCAATAAGAAATTAATAAATAGAAAGGTTTTAAAAATTTATGAAAAAAATGCAGTCCCTGATACACAGAACAAAAGAAAAAAAAACGACAAACTTTTAACATATTAAGATTATTAATATGTCACCGAAATTCAATTTAATAGTTTTAACAATGCATATATTGATTTCACGAATAACAGTTAATTTGTCAGAAGGGGAAGACATTCCACTTAAATGTTTGTAAATTTTTAAATTTATTTATTTTTGTTCCTGATGTTTTCACTTCACCTTCCTTCTTTGTCCTGGATTTTTTTTTCTCCGCCATTGCTATCAATTATTAAACTTTTCATTTCAGCCTTTCCCCCAATGGGCTTAGTGGACATCAGAAGTAAGTGTGACATGATAAGATTATTTCGTAAAGAATACAAAATTGTGGCACAAAGCCGAAGGGGAGATGAAGAGAGACAGTCTTCATTAGCTATCCTCTTAGAATCACAACCCATTCATTGATTACAATTTGCCCATTCACCACAAGGACTCATCCATCACCACTCAATCCTGCATATACCATAATACTGCATATTCGCAGGAGACCTACAGAACATCCCATGAAGTAAAAATTTAATTTCATTGTCCATAAAGCCCGTTTATATGAAAATTTCATGATCTATTAAATGATGGGGGTGGGAGGATGAAACCAGAAAACAAACTAAAATGAAAAACAAGGATAGAACTAAAACAAAACACTGTTAGTAGGACCCGTCGATCCTTCAAGGAGAGTAGGGTAAAGCGAGGCTGATTTATATGTTCACAGTCCGGTCCAGCTGACACGGACCTATGGCGAACGATTGTACATCCCTCTTTTTCAGCCAGCTCTGATCAGTGCCAAGGCGGAACCTGGATATGATATCGGCAACGATGAAAAGTAGCAGGAGGAGTCACGATACGTTTGAAAACGGCAAGCAGGAAAATAGGAACACACTTGGCGAAAAGAGGCTCGGCACTTGTTGATTGTGAAAAACGGATGACGTTATGCAGTGTCCCGGACGATGCATGAAGTGGGAGAAGAATTAAATCTCCCGGCCAACTTAACGAAAGGCCTTCATTACGATAACATGTCTTCGTGAAGGCAATTTTAAAGAACTGACCTAACGGAGATTTGAACCACGTGTTTTCTTGGATTATGCAATAACACGCCGAGGGGCACGCGGTGGAAATACGAACGAAGAAAAAATCAAGGAGAGAGACAGACAGAGATCTCAAAATGAGAGGAGGATATCAAAAGATTGAATAAAAACACAATTGAAAAGAACAGAAGAGATATAAAAAGGAGATATTCTAATAATAATAATAATGTGAATAATTAAGATATGTATTGTTTGCTTCAACCTCGACCCCATTGATAAACACTCCATAACCCCACCAAAGTTTGCATACACCATTCCACAAAGGAAAGAGAGGAACTTCATTGATTCACCCCCATTCATTTTTATGACTTCGAACTCTATCGATTCCTGATTACTGTATATATTTTCATAGTGATTCTTTTGTTCTGTTGTTTTTGCAGTTAACTTATTTGTTGTTATATAAAATGATTTATAAAATTCCCCAGTGTTTGTCTTGTTGCTTGTGCCGTTGTTTAATGAGTTTTGACCAATCAGAAAGATCCGTTATCTTATGTTTTTCTTTTCTTTTTATATATAATATTGTTAACGTGAGCTGAAATTTAGGGTGTACCCAATTGTCACAATACTTGATGAGAAAGTCTTTCTCCCTAGGCTGGAAGGCATCGTGGCCACGTGACATAAGTCATAATTTAATTCTTTCATATTTTATGTACCTTTTTTTTTTTATATAGGTTAATAGGAGTAGATAGGTCCGAACTACTTCCCTGTCTATTGAACAGAAGTCGAGGTTCATCCTTTGTTCCCTGTTCAGGATATGGTTTACCGATTCTCTTTCTTTCTTCTACCAGTGCCACAATAGTTTAACTGTCTTAACGTTTTGATGATCGGATTAACCAATGGCTGTGATTTTCCATTGTGAGGTACCGGGTTGGCAGTTTGCTGGTTGCTGTTTCCGCGTTGGGAGCCCGAACTCTTTGGTAGTGTTTAGAGAGGCTGTTCTGATCAACAGTCGCATAATATTGGGATATTTGTATTACTGTGTCGCGCATGGGTAGATGTCCCTGCATGTGTTTCCGGTAGGCAACCCTGAGGCCACACTATGCTCTGTTCTCAGCCATGCTCTGGCTAGTTTGTATTACCATTGACGAGAGATAGTGATAATTACGGTGGTCTTTTCTTTCTCTCCTCAAAACGAATCTCATGGAAAATAACAATTAGAAATACAACTAAACCAGTAAACAAAATAACACCTACTCACCTCAGCCTCTCTTTCACTAATATTCGTGGTATCCGTTCCAACTTCTGCAGCGTAGAATGTTTCCTCTTGGAACGCTCACCAGATATCTTTGCCCTCTGTGAAACTAACTTACATTCTTCCATAGCTTCCAATGAATTATTGGTCCTGGGCTATCTTTCCCTTTGCCGAAGAGATTCCGGCATGACTTTGGTGTTTACATCCGGGATACTCTTCCGATGGCCAGGGAATTGTCTCTGGAGACACCAGACTACTCCTTCATGTGCTTCCGTCTTTCGTTACTAAACTCTTAGATATCTCTTTTTCCTTTATCGCTTCCTAGGACTGCAGTATATTAGACATAATAGCTGACAGTGTAGAAAAGGTACTTTCTCTCCACCCGTCTGAGAACATCTTTGTCTTCGATGATTTTAATGCTCACCAAGACACGTGGTTTAAACATTCTAAAGATACTGATGTTGCCGGTGTTCAGACATTAAATTTTTCCATTGACCAATCCCTCAGCAAATCGTGGTCCGTCCGTCGTTAACTGGGGTAAAATATGATTTGTTAATTTGAATGCCTCCAAAACGAAACTTCTCTCCCTTAATCATCTGAGAGACCCCTCTCTGTCTTCCATTAGTATGGCTGATGCTAACCTCCAGTAAAGTGACTCATTGCGCCTTCTCGGACTCACGTTCTCAGCTGACATGATGTAGAAAGATTATATTGAATCCATTGCTAGGTCATCTGCTAAGAAAGTAGGTTCACTGTGTCGGGCGAGACAATATTTCTATCCGGAATCTATCTTACATATCTATAAGTCTACCATTCGTCCATGCTTAGAATAATATTGCTGCTACATATGTCCAGTGCCTCTATTATTTACCTTGAGCTTCTTGATGAGCTCCAAAGCGGAATCAGCAATATTATTGGCTCTGATCTGGCGGCTCGGCTTCAGTCACTTTCCTACCGCCGTAAAGTTGCCTTTCTATGTCTTTTCTTTAAATACTTTCATGGTAATTCTTCTGATGAACTCTTCGATATGGTACCTTGAGTTTTTTTTTTTTTAGATTTAAGTGCAATACTAGACTGGCGTCGAGATCTCATCAATTTATAGTTGAGCTGATGAGATAAAGCTGTAAATTCTATGCTAACAGTTTTTTTTTCTCGTACTACTCGCTTGTAGAACTCCCTTTCCAGCCAACTTTAATCTGCAAAATTTTAAAGCAATGTCAATCGCTATCTACTGTCAACCAGATTACTCTCTTCTTTTTCTGCCCATTATTAATGTTTCTGTTCCTAATTCTTCTACACCCTGTAACCCCTTGTTTTAGTGGCTTTACTGCCTTGCATAGGGTGATGTCGATTAAAAAAAAAAAGGAAAAATTACGTTTACAATGACAAACTCACATAGCCTCTTCATTTATCAAGAAGTTGCCAAACATCCGAGATATTTGTTTCTAAAAAAGTTCTAAAGTGGTGTAGTGAAATGCATAAATATATATTGGGTTATGTATATTTAAATGTATTTAATAATATTGTTATGATGTTTATGGTGTTATGTATATATGTGTTATGATGTTATGTATATATGTGTTATGTATATTTAAATGTGTTTAATAATATTGTTATGATGTATTATGCGTGTTTATAATTTTTCACACGCATAGTTGTTGGAATGTAATATAAAAGATTTGTTTATATATGCGGAATGTGTATTGAAAACAAGTACTATTAAAAATGCTGTAAAAAGAGAAAAAAAAACGGCCCAAGCTCAAGAATGCTTTGTCTAATTTTAATGAAATTTGGCACTGCACTCGGCAGGGGTTCAAGGTAAAATATTCTCCTAAATTGGTTGAGGTATTATGTATCATTTAAGTTGTATCTCGAAAATAAACATACATACAAAATTAAAGATTTAGTATTAGGTTGGTGCAAAAATAATGTCGTTTTTTGACGTTAAAAAATACGTCAAAAACCGACATTATTACGTCATTATTTTTGCACCAACCTAATACTATGCAGATATCGCAGAAAAGCATTTTTATCATAGAGGTGGGTGTTTATTGTATTGAATCTGTCTGTTGAATAATTTCTAACATGAAGACATACAAGACATTTATTTGTGACATGTGAAGTTGATATCAAACATCATTTGTATATATTACTCGTATATATGTTGACCTCGTATGTAACTGTCCAATTTCATTATTTACAGAGTTTATGTTAGTCTGATGCAATAGTGGAGCATGTTGCAGGAATTATGCTTTTTTGCACCGTTTGTTATTAGATACCGTTGGAACTTTCTAAACTACTGTTATGATGTTGATTTGGGGTTAGTAGAGACAAACGCCAAATAACACGTAGCAATAAAAAGGGTTTTAATAGGTTGGTAAAAAGATACAGAAATCGCCTGAGTAGTCAATAACTAGCTCAGCTAAGAACTTCTCTGTCTATCTATCTTTTTCATGTCAACTGACATGCCACTATTTAAAGTCTTTGTTCACAGACGCAGACAAGTTCATCTTCAAGAGGGGTGGTAGGTTTCCGACACAACAACTACATTCAGATAAGGTCACGTGGTCATTCTCCCTGAAAGTCAGGCCTGTTATCACCGTGCTTCCCTCATCCTAAAATTGTAGTAGGATTTGTGAAGTACGTTGGAAGATATATGATAAAAATATAGTTTTAGGGTATGTTATATTTATGGGTACGACGCACGGTGAGTTAGTGGATAGCGGTTTGGATTGGCGAGCCGAGTTCGAATTCCAGTCGAATCCATTACATTAACTTACGTGCTAATACCCTTGGGAAAGGTATGAATCCTCTTCTTCTCCCCACTCCTAGCTATGGGTAAATAGCAGGACAGACCGGCTTCTATAGCCTTGGATGGCAACTGGTCTACCGTAGAAAGAAATGGCAACCTTCTGCTGGAAAAAATCTACCTCGTCAGTCATGTATCGAAAGAGACATGATCATCTAAGCGTGTATCACGTATGGCACATAACTGACTAACTGATAATTATGGGTAAAATGGTCAATATCAGATAGCGCGTATGTAGACTTAAAAATATAAATGTGGACACTGGTCAACACCGAGCGGCGACAGTTTGTTTCAGGCTTGAACGCAATCTCCAGTGTTGACCTCAGTGTCCATTTTTTTCTCTCTCTCTCTCTATATATATATATATATATATATATATATATATATATATATATAGAGATAGAGAGAGAGAGAGAGAGAGAGAGGAGTGAGAGAGAGAGATGATGGAGAGAGAGAAGAGAGAGATAGCGGAGGGGTATAGATAAATAGTCATGTGTGCCAAAATACAAGTGAATAAAACCAAACTATTCCCCCCTCTCTCGCTCTCTCTCTGTGTGTGTGTGTGTGTGTGAAACAGAAATCAACTTTATAACAGCAATAAATAAATAAAATAAAATAAAAATAAAATAAATGTACATACGTGGTTTGTGTGTGATGCTTCCGTATTTAAAATTGTCCATTAGTTTGAAATCTCTTTCAGGACAATGAAATGTGTCCTGTTTGTTTGAAGTTGCATCTGGACATGACGTCCGGCACTCCTGACGACCCAATAAAAACGGAAGGCCCTCCTGACAAAATTTAGTGAAGAGAGTAAAGAGAACGCTACTTCTTCTTCTTTTTTTTTTTTTTTTTTTATAAACTTCCACGAGCGATTACTATTGGTTGGAAGATAGCCTGACGTCATATTTATTTTTGACCACGGAAATAAGTGTGGTATAGAAATTTCCAAACTTCCGCCAGACTCCACAGGTCTGTCTATGGAGAATCGTCTCTACGGCAAGCACTGGCATTGTGTAAGCCCTGTTCAAATATTTGACACTGCATTTTAGATAACTTTATTATAATAATAATTTAAAAAATAACAGCTCGTTAGCTTTTAATTAAATTATGCCGCTACATAAAAAGGTAAATATTGGTTTTGTTACCTGTGCGCTAATATCCCTTAAATTTTTCCCCAAATCGTCATAATTCCGTGCAAATGTACATGCTGAACTCGAATTAACAATTAAATTATGAAGAAACCTTACCGTTTTGAAGTTATTAAAAATAAAAACATTAAATAATTTACCAAGTTTGTGCATTAATTTTTTTTTATTTTCAATTTTAAAATATAAAAAAATGCTTTATTTTTATTATTTAATTTGTTCTCTTAATTTATCATTGCCATTCGAAACGGAAAAAGGTTCTGTTGTATTATTTAATTTGTTTTTGTTATAATAAAACTACACTTACCAAAAAAAAAAAAAATTTCTTTACGGTAGTGCATACTGATTTCTGCAAGGAATTTCTGTAAAGGAAGTAAATAGGCCCAAATTTTATGACTCCGCCGCAAAGTGTGCCGCAGTGAATTACTTGTAAATAAGCCGGTAATGGTTGACGAAAGACCGACAAGAAGTTCGATGTTTTCTTGTCGATAACTCCAAAACGGTAAGGTTTCTTCATAATTTAATTGTTAATTCGAGTTCAGCATGTACATTTGCACGGAATTATGACGATTCTGGAAAAATTTTAAGGGATATTAGCGCACGGGTAACAAAACCAATATTTATCCATAAAAAACACATCTGAGACTTCCTTGCTTTTATTGATGTAATTTGGTCTATATTTGTTCGAAGTCATTTTTTCAGTTGCTTTTCTTTCTTCAGTCAGTATGATAAACACAAAGAGTCCACCTTGATATATTCTACCTCATAATTTAATATAAGTTACTTAACTATCTAGTCATCATAATATTTTTCGTCTACAATATCCAAATATAGATAATCAATCTGAAGAAAATTATTTTTACTTTGTGGTGTATTTCAAACAGAAATTATATTGATCGGAATCAAAAGCTTTTGCAGATACCTATTGTAATTTCTCGAAAATAATACGCATTTTTATTTTATTTTAAATTACAGGTAATAGTAAGGGTGCGTATCATAAATTGGTTTAAACAAAAATATTTTTTTCGTTATTGATTTATAATAATAAATACGTACTAGTTGTTCTAGAATAAGAAAGATATTATCCCAATTTTAATTTTAAATCCAACAATAATAAATGTAACATGTTCGTCAATAAATTTATGTTTATCAGTAAACGCATTTTTTATTTGGCGAAAAAATAAAAATCTATAAAAAATACTTGATCGTCTTTCTTTCACAAATTCAACTAAATTTTGTTCCATATCTGGATATTGAGCTTTTCTTCCTCTACCTATAGATATGGCACTTGATTTACACTTCTTTTTAGTTCGTTTTTATTCTTTCTCCATAAACGTATGTTAGCCTCATTCAACTCCTATTCTCTAGCTGCAGCTCTGTTTCTTATTCTTTCGGCTAATTCTATTACTTTTTTGTTTAAAATTTACACTATAACTCGCACGTTTTGACGACATTTTGGCGGTAAAATAAAATGTTATATTTATCGGGAAAACCGCATGGTAATTTTCAACATTATTTTAGCCGATTAGTTACGATTTTATTCTTAATGTCAAGGCTATCAAAATGTCTTCGTAATTACATTTTTTTTTTTACAAAATTTATAGATGCGTATTATATATAGGGATAGATATATTTCTTAATTTGGGGATCATTTGTTGGGGCGCGTATTATTTAAGGGTGCGTATTATTTTCGAGAAATTACGGTAATCGGTTGCTGAGTATTGAATCAAAACATTAACCGAACCATCTATAGATGCATAAATCTAATAACAATAACCAATACTGTTTTCGTTAAAAAAAGAAACAAAGTAAAAGGATTTTTAACAATGGAATATGAGATAGATAGATAGATAGATAGATAGAGAGAGAGAGAGAGAGAGAGAGAGAGAGAGAGAGGTACGACCAAAGAAAATGTGCCTCTCCACAGGATTCAAACTTGTATTTCTCTTTTCCATCAAGGAATCTACTTTTAAGCCAAATGAAGCGAGTATATTGAAGATCTCTTCCATGACGAAAGGGAACAACCAGCAATACACAGAACTACCGACAGACCTGGAATTTTGAAAACCGAAGTAAAAGCCGTACTGGCCAAACTGAATAGAAAAAAAGAAGCTGGGCTAGACGGAATTGTAACGGAAATGCTGACAGCCTTAGATGACTTTAGCATAGACAAGATCCCGGAAATAACGAATGAAATCTACAATAGCTAGAATATAACGGAAGACCCGAGCAGAGCTATCTTCAAGAAACCAAGCGCAAACGAATGCTAACTCAACCGAACAATAAGCCTAATGAGTCACGTGACAAAACTTACCATCCGTATACTGATGAATAGAGCGCGCAGCAGAATCAGGCCAGAGACAGGACAAGAACAGTGCGGGTTCGTTAAAGACACCGGAACAAGGAACACGATATTCATGCTCAGAATGTTATCAGAAAGAGCGATACAAATGCAGAAGGACGTGTACCTATGTTTTATAGACTACGCAAAGGCCTTCGACAAAGTACGCCACAAGGATCTGCTGGAACTGTTCAGCCACCTTGACATATTCCGGAAAGATATCGGAATAATCAACAACCTTGAAGCAAACAACATGAATTCGCATAGAGAATGAGTTCAGTGAATATACAAAAATAGAAAGGGGCGCAAGGCAAGGATGCGTCTTCTCACCCGACCTGTTCAACCTGTACAGCGAGGCAATTCTGAGAGAGTTAGAAACCCTACGGGGATTTAGAGTTGGCAGCCATAATCTCAACAACATAAGATACGCAGATGACACAGTACTGATAGCAGATACGGAAAAGAAACCACAAAATCTCCTACAGAAGTTAGCGACGGAGAATGAGAAGAAAGGACTAAGCATAAACTACAAGAAGACGGAGTGCGTGGTCGTCAGTAAGAGGATGAACCCGAAAAGCGATCTGAAGGTCGGGAACACTAGAATCAAGCAGACGCGGAAGATTAAATATCTGGGAAGCGTTTTGACAGTGGACGGTAAGTGCGACACTGAGATCCGTAGACGTATTGGGGTGGCCAAGGATGCATTCCAAAAGCTGGGTAGGGTATGTCGAGAAAGGAGGATTTCTTTGGTAACAAAGAAAAAGATACTGAGCTGTCCTTGTTTGCAGCAGCGAATGCTGGACGATTTCCTCAAAGATGAAGAAGAGGCGACGTGGTTCTAGATGTGGTCCTACAGAAGGATGCTGAGGATTTCGTGGACCGAGCGCGAGCAACGATAAGGTCTTGGAGAGGATGCAGACAAGGAGGAGGCTCATGCTTAACATCAGGAAGAGGCAGCTGAAGTTTCTGGGACACATAATGAAGAAGGAGGGCCTTGAGAAACTGATACTCACGGGTCGAATAGAGGAAGAAAGAGAGAGACAAGGGAAAGCAGCGCGTGACATTCCTGGCAGTGGATGACAGAATGTGGTCTGGGTGAGATAGCAGAAGGACGGAACTTGCTGAGAGCTGCAAGAGATAGAGGGAGGTGTAGATTCATGATCGCCTACGTCCTGAAAGGACATTGCACAAAAAAAGAAAGAAAGGCTACGAAGGGTCACCATAACGAAGTAAGGATCAATTGCTCTATTTAAGAAAGTTTTTTTTTCTGATAGAAAAGGGGAATACAGGTTCGAAGCATAAAATTCAATTTTACAACCTGACGAATGTATTAGGTTGGTGCAAAAATAATGACTTAATAATGTCGTTTTTTGACGCTAAAAAATACGTTAAAAAACGACATTATTACGTCATTATTTTTGCACCAATCTAATACTTGATCTCCGTGATACTCAGAATAAGGATAAGATAAACGAATATTTAATTTAATTTTATTTATTATTATGCATGAATCTATGGATGTACGAATGGTTTCGTTTTCGTTTTTCTATAAAGAAACACAATGTAGAATTTGGGTGTAGATCGATTAAGATAAAGACTAAAATTGTTTTCTTAATGTGAAGATTTGGTACATTCATATATAAGCCGATTTCTTGCGTATATCACACCTTGATTTCTAGAAAATCAATAATTTATGTTTCGTGTTTGTCCGTGCCACCATACTATAACTTACAATACATTTTGACTGTTTTAGACTTGAGATCATGAGGCAAGTACTTTCCTTAGACAAAAGTGTGAATAACTGGTGGTTCATACACGGTAGAAAATCTGTCTCTGTTTATATTCTGTTTAAAGGTTATTTTTATAGATACAATTTATTTAAGTAGATGATCTGCTTTAAATTAGACAATATTAATTACATTTACCGGCCTGAATGTTCGAGAAATTTCAGAGAAAATATGCGTTCTCCGACGGGAACCGTCGTTTGATCTGACATGCTGTACCATTTAGCTACAGAGAAGCGTCTGGTTAGCAAAGTCCAATGTACTGTTTATAAACACACAATCTTCAACGATTATTCTCGATAGATCATACCTGCTCACAAAAGTATCTTAAAGTAAACAGTGACAACATATAATGAGATGAATTAAGTCCGACAAATATATAATATATTTTCTGTTTGTACATTATTTTTTATAGATATTTATAAACAGTAAATTGAACTTTGCTAACCATAGGTTTCTCTGTAGTTAAATGGAAGAGCACGTCTGATCATTTACTTGAATAAATTGTATCTATAAAATAGCGTATAAACAGAAAAAATATCAAATAATTGTCGGACATAATCCATATATATATATATACGAACAAAAAACAACTTTTATATATCAAGAAGAATCGATAGGAATATATTAAATCTGTGTGACGCACAAATGAAATCGTATAGGACGAAAACGTCACCCGAAAATCTTTGTCATAGATTTTCTTATATATATACATGTATATATTTCCCTAATAATATATATATATATATATATATATATATATATATATATATATATATATATTTCCTTTAAATAATATGTGGAAATAATCCATATTATATATATATATATATATATATATATATATATATATATATATTATAATAATAATAATAATAATATATATATATATATATATATATAAATATATATATATATAATGTGGTATTTTTATTATATATATATATATATATGTATAATATATGTATATAATATGTGGTTATTTCTATTATTACTTAAAGAATATATATATAAATTCACATTATAACAAAGACTTCATGGCTTTTTCTTCTTTCTTTAATATATATATATATATATATATATATATATATATATATATATATATATATATATATATTAGGAAATATATACTTGTGTATATATTAGGAAAATCTGACAAAGAATTTTCGTGTGGTATTATTATTATATAAATTATAATAATAATGCCACAAATCTATTAAACCTAAAAGAAATGTTAATTATTAAATTTTAATGCATGCGTTATTTTAGTATTTATAACTGTGTGAGGTTGTATGTTGTTTTTCAATTTGCTTGAAATTTAATGAAAACAGAATGTGAAAATCGTTTTGTCTTGTCCCATTATTGATTATTTATTGAACGGGCGTCAAAAGTTCATCGTTGGACGTCGTTTTCATTTTAAAGAACACACACACACACACACACACACACACACACACACACACACACACACACATATACATGTTTATGCATACAAGACGAGGCTGAAAAGTTTTCGTCTTGAACAAAAAGATTAATCGTGAGCTATCCATGAAATATACATCTTTTTTTCTTTTTATGTGCCATGTCCTTTCAGGACGTAGGCGATCATGGCTCTCCACCTCCCTCTATCTTTTGCAGCTCTCTGCTTCCTACTGCTTCCTACCCCAGACCATGTTCTGTCATCCATTTGTTTAAGTCCGCCGGGTATGTCAGGCGTTGTTTTCCCTTATCTCTCTTTCCCTCTATTAGACCCGCGAGTATCAGATTTTCCAGGCCCCCTTTCCTCATTATGTGTCCAAAAAACTTCAGCTTCCTCTTCCTGATATTAAGTATGAGCCTCCTCCTTGTTTGCAACATGTCTAAGATCTCATCGTTGCTCACACGCTCGATTCATTTCCTATTTTCATTCCACTGTCCAGTATGCATAACACATTTTTTCTCAACTTTCTTTACCCCCACCCGACAAAATTGTGATGTTTCGTAATTGAAATACTGACTTTAGAAAGTGTATTGGACCAAAACGTTTTTCAACAAACCTTCTTATATATAAAATTATATTGTTTAAAAGTTTCTGTATTATGCGGATTTTCTTCTATACAAAATAAATAAAATAAAATGTATATTAGTTATCTTTTTAAGCGCACAAAAACGACTCTTATTTAGTGTGAAATAGAAACAGAAAAAAATGTTTATTTACAACATTAATTTATACGAAAAGAATAACGATGTAGAGGCTTGCTCAAAATATTCTTTTGGGTGTCGAGTAAAATTAAGCCAGGTAGAGAGAATATCTGTAAAAAAGTAGGGATTTAGATGAGTTAAATTTGAAAATGGCTTTGATAGAGGGAGTGAAAACGAAGTTCAAGTGATACTGTTAATTTTCGATGCCGTTCAGAGTTCATAGGTCAACGTAGTATAGAAAGCGTTCGAAGTAATATGGAATGAGTTTCAAATGAATTGCTTTTGTGAAAAAAACGTGTAGAAGTTAGTAGAATCTTGAACAATTATAGCAGCAGGCAGCGATTTGTCTTGTACAATCGAGGAAATCTTGGCGGATTTATTTCGCATGTTCAAAATTGTCTCTATCAAGTTGTCTTATGTTGCGCGTAGTCGTTGTTTGGCCATGCGGTATTTTGGAATCTAAGGTCTTTTTCTTTTCATTGCTGAAGGTAATTTAAATTGATGACTTACATCCCTCCTATCCACGCAGAGCTATGTTGTGAATGAATAGTAATTAAACTAAATTGCCGCTTCCCTTAAATGAGACAATAGGCTATAAGCCACCTTTCAAAATTTTCGCAGGTTTCAAATTAAGTTCTTCTGATTGGCTAAAAAATAACCTTGAGAAGATGTTTTTTTAATACCTTTCCCGAGAATATTCCTTTTTATTACCCTGAACCAAACACAGTGTCGCCATAATC